AACAGATTCACTAGGTGTAAAAGTGTCCTAGGAGTGGTTTTGTTAGGTGACAGATTCATAGCAGAGAGGTTCTCTGCTGCTATGTATCCAGTGAAATGTCCAAGATACCATTACATGTCATGAATCAATAATCATGACTCAGAATAAGTATGGACTCAAAATATTAGTGACTCATAATTAATTAGGAATGATAAGATCAAGCCAAATGGAAAGAACAAATGGTAATAACAAATGGTCATGACAAATGGGCATACCAGATGGTAGCACCAGATGGGCACGACAGATGGGCTACACAATTGGTAGCCTGAGTGCAAGAATGTCCAGACTGGTCAACCCGTTTGTAACTAGCTTTTGTCTATATAAACTTGTACTTTTCAGTAACTTCTCCAGCAATGAATCTCCTCTTACTTCTCGTCTTCCTATCCTCGATCCTCCCCTTCCAGTAAGAGACGTCACTCAACTGGTTCTAACCCAGTGCTCTCTGTCCCCTCAGTATCTAAGGCAGTCATCTAGCTCTACGAGTCAGAGACTATACCCCTCAGTACCTAAGGCAGTCCCTACGCTATCACAGTCTACCCCCAGGCGTGACATTACACCATGCTGGTACTGAATCACAAGTACAGTCCACTGGAGGTAAGGCAACAGAACAGCCCAGTTGTACTATAAACTCGTTCCTTTCAATCATGAGAGGTTCATGCACTTGGCACCTCCTGCTGATGATAAAGGCGCTCATGTCCACGCCAAACGAGGGGACCTGCAACCACATCCGCATCCACGTTTCAAAGCACAAACTCGCTTGAGGGGGTTATCTTCACTCGATCTTCGCTTACCACATGAGACGGCAAGATAAGCTCTTCCTTTCATGCCACTCTCCCGGATGCTGTCTGAGGAAGACTCCACAAATCACGATTTCTCGACTTAAGCCAGCTCTACCTTCATAAATCACAACAACCACCCTCAATATACTAAATCTCTACTGTCATCAGGAATGGACTTAAAACTGGAGGCTGCTCTTGCCCACATTGGTTCTAACAAATTAATGTGGTCGGAACAGGAGCAGACCGAGGGATGGGTAGATGAAGAAGCAATGCACCGTGACCTCGATATGGCAGAGGCCCAAGTCCATGAAGGTCTGGTTGATGAAGAAAACAAACTTCAAGCCTACAGCATCACCCCTCAACAATATGATGAGACAAAGTCCACCCTTGAATATGTCTTAACAGCCATTCGTTGTGAGCAATCTCAGATCAGTGGAGATGCCATAGCCTGACCTGACAGTTACTCGCAACTCGATAAACTCAGTGGACAAAGATCAAGTCGCTTGGTTCCATGCCAGGGACTATTTCGGATCTCTCGTAAAAACTACACCCCCCTTCATCTTCATTGAGGACGATGACGAGCTGACAAGCCTCATCATGTCTGACCAAGGCAAAGGCAAAGGCAAATCAGCTGTCACAGCCAAAGATGAAGAGGCGCTGGAAGTGCTGAGATACGCACGTGCCAAAACAAGAGCTGATCTTCGTAGGAATACATTTGCCCGATTGAGCCAGTTTTTCGCTCAGAAATGTCCCACTGAGGAGGAAAATGCCTCAGAGACCTCATCACAAGAGCTAGTGAAGGGCTTCCAGGTTATGGATATTGACTCTCATATGGATGAGAGCGTATCTGTGGCGGATGATGAGGAAGATTTGGGAGCCTTAGAAGTTGTTCTAAGTAGCTTCAATCAGGAGTACAGCTTAGTGGCTCAGGGTATCAATGCCACAGAAGCTAAGGAGCAATTTGTGGAAGATGCCACCAAGACTGAAATTTTTCTCACCGGTATGTACCTACTCATAGCTGCATGAAGACTCCTACTCATCCCCCAGCTTTTGGAGTACTTCTCATCACTGATCCGGACACTGTCACTGAGGAGTGGCGGCAAAATCTGGGGACCAGTTATAACGTGATCTCTTTCATGATGTCAAGATCAGAAGAAATGGTGATGGAGTACCACAGACTGCGGTCCACGGGACAATCAACTTATCCTGAGGATGATGAAGAAAACAATCGACGCATTGCCAGTCTGCCGATCTGGCAGCAACTTAAGACTCGTTTGACTAAGGCAATGGCAACACTGTGAGTGCAAGTCCAACACTACTGAATCCGACTTTACTTATTCACAGTGGGGACGAGTCCCAAAGTGAAGCTGATAGTAGCGAGTCTGGGTCCGAGTGGGAAGATGAGGAAAACTAGGCGAGTCTTAGCCCGATCACGCCTCCCATTGGTAGGAGATATTAAGGTTCAATATTTCTGATTGCATTGCATATCGTACACATATGACATAAGTATCTTTGCACATGATAGCTTCAAGAACAATCTCACTGAGGCGTTGATTTTGTGCTTGTAGTGATGCTACTTTCTCTTAGTTGACGGAGTTCCAGTGGTTTGGTATATTGCCTGAAGTATTGTTTTTCCAATCAAAAGAACCTTTACTCATTACCTGACAAAGGTTTGAACTGTCCACTTGAACGGAAGACTTGCACACTCCATCCAATTTACAGTTGGGCCAAAACGCAGTAGGTGTCTCTAGTTGCCCACTGACTCTGTCAGCACTGTCACACATGCATGGTATGGATCCCAGAGAGATTGCCCATGCTGCTGAAAAGGTCTGTTCATTTCTTGAGCTTATCCCAGAGCTCCCGAGGGCAGAGGATACCCGTAAAGGGCTGTACGGGGTGAGCTTCATCCTTTCCTATGTCAGTGACCGGGTAATATTGGTTGACTCTGCATTCAGCCCACCGCCTCCACCCCTGGGAGGTAGCATTGGAATTTTCCAAACTCGTTCCCGACCGAGATTCATGCGATCACGACTGCAGAGGCCCGGAACCTCGCTGGTGCCAGGACACTTCTTGCTGGCTGGAGCAGATGTTACCACCATACTTCGACGGGACAGAACATTCACACATTGGTGACAGTGCCTCTATCCTTGCCGAATATCTTCAATCACAAGCAAGAGCTGCGTTCAATAGCAATTTGGTGGATTTCTCAAGCAGACTATGCTTTGGGTCCTGTAGCCTCAACACTGTTAGTCGTCTGTTCAAAGGAGGCCTGAGCCTCCTACGGATGGCGATATTGAAGTGGCTCCGCTCATTGGTAGATGGGCGCACCACTCTGATTAGTTATGTGGGTCATCACGGAATTGCTAGGATGAATGAGTGTTGGGCTGTGCACATCCCATAAGATTACCCTTCCGTACAAAATTGGCGTGTAGAGCAACGAAAGTAGCGGCACTCCACAACACCCAGGGGTCAGCCCTGCTTCAGAGTGACAATGGCCCTAGTCATGACTCCGAATCTTCCCTTTGCAATCGTTCAACTGCAAATTACATCACTTCTTGTCCGCAATAACGAAAATCCCAAGCAAATACCCGGGGGAGTTGCTGTCATGCAATTGTCTATGGAGGAATATGGGTCAAAGGGCAGGCAACTCTATGTGATTCTTTTCCAAGCAGAAGCCAGACGAAGCATGTCATGTAGCACTCCGTTGTCGATAACTGAAGGAGTTTTCAGCAAGGAGTGCTGCAAATCTTGACCGAGGGACTCTGCACGACTCTGCACGGGGCAGCTACCTTTTGAGGTGGCGCGCACGGTTCTGCATGGTAAGATTTCACCATGAAGTCACTGGGCTTGCGCCACACGGAGATCATCCGAGTTGTACAAATCTGACCGATAGCCTGCAACTCCATTGATCGCGCTATGAAGCGGAAGCTTAATCTGAGAGCCCCTCCGTGTAAGTGTGAGAAGCGTCTGCAGTCTGTTTCCACTTCTTCTTTTCCTTGACTCAACTTCTGTGATCCGTTGGTGCTTGTTGATTGCTCTCTGCCCAGGCAGCTTCCTCACATCCTTGAAGACGGAGCAAAGTTCACCGCTTGTACATTTCCTCAAAGCCTGCCTGACTCTAGATTTATCATGTCCAACCTGCAGGAGTCGGTCAGCACTCTTTCAGACGATCCAGACAGGCCAATGGCCCTTGGAATGATAATCGAATACCTCTTGACCTTTCAGGGTCAGTCAGCTTCGAATGATTCGGAACGCATCAAAAGCAAGCCACGCAGAGAATGCGCATGGGTTCTGAAAGGTACGCTTTGCACCATCACAGCACAGTAAACTAACAGCGGTAGAATATTGGCTGTCGCTCCTTGAAGGACAGACAATTATACCCAGTCTGGAGCAAGGGGAAGCGTTTAAGGCTTGTTATGTTTTGTTGAAAGCTCTGTCCAGGGAAAAATCTGACACAACATGGTCTAATGAGCTGGAAAGGCGCTTGGACGACATGAGTACAGACGACAAGGCTCTTCTCTCCTATACGCGTCTGGTCCAAACCATGATTGAGGAATCCTTGGGAAGGTGAGTGGGTCGGAGGCAGACAGGGCTACTCTAACCGTGGGCAGGGATTATGCCTGGATGGACCAGCCGATTCAAGGAGACAGCGCAAATTGCGCTAACAGTGCGCAGCTGAAAGATCAGGTCCCCGGCCAGATCAATGACACAAGTACTGCTTGTTCTAGAGAAGATATAGAGTCAGAGAATGACTCGGATGATTCGGATGTGACGGTGAAGGCTGCAGAGTCAATGAAAGGAGACCGTCAGGAGTCTTCATAGGGTTGTAGCATCCACACTCAGTGTAGGTTGTCACATCACACTCTTGCTGGTATGACATGAGATAACATGAGAGGGATGCATGTGTAACTTCCTGAAAGCCATCATAGCACTTGTCCACATGCTTGACATTCCTATGTATTGGTGGATGCGAGTCGCTCGCCGAATGTGATTCAAGCCCATCCGAGTGGAGTAGTTGGTACCTAACCATCTCAGCAGGAGGAAACACCATACTTTTCCCAGTTGCTCATTTCAGCAAACTCTTAGCAAAGGACTGATTCACCGGAAATAGGCGCTACATCCGATATGTGCAAAAATGGTCACTGGTGTTTGTGGGGAAGTGAGCATGATATATTGGCTTACCTGAGTAAGTTACAAAAACATAGACATGACAGATACACCAGCCTAAAAACCATTCAGCAACGTCTTCTACTAATTGCTGTAAGCTGTTGTGAATGGGTCAGTCAAAGAGCAGAGACCATCTTGAGATAGTGATTTACATGATAGACAGGTGCTTGAAGCAAATCAGAAGAGATGCATGAGACATGATTTTGTTGAAATGAGTCAGCAGCTTTTGCATAGTCCCAGTACGTTTAACTACCTTGTTCCTGCGCAACTTCTATTCCCTCCGTCACTGATCTGCCACTGTACCGGCTAGACTATATCATTGTGTCTTCGGTCACTACTACATCTCCTCTAGGGCCTAAGAGTTGCAATTGAGACCCCGAAAGGAAACTGCAACAACTGCCAAAACTGTTTGCCCAAAGAATTGAGCCGCAATGGCCGAGCTGTCAGTAGGGTCCCTATCCTTCACTTTTCTCCTTTGTCTTATTGTCCTCTGAACTTTATTTGGCTCTTTCGGGTTTGCTGCGTATGGGTGGAATAGGATAAGTATAGAGACACGTAAATCCAACACATGCTCTTTTCCCCTCTGCATTGTTATCTAATTACCACCAACTAAAACCATGTCAGTTATCGACGGGGAGACGCACAGTAAGTAGTACCGTTCCATCCGGCTCCGTGCGCAAAATAATCGGGGCAGGAGAGAGTTGCAGATCTAGTATGTATGTTATTTTGTACGTTGCCCGTGACTGGCGATATACAACCCGGGACGAGTATTTCGTCGGCCATCTCAAATGGCG